GATGCCTACCATCTGGCAGGTCATGCAGATAGCCATCTTTCCCAAGTAGACTTTCCAAATCACCAATGCAGTGATTTTCCACCCAGTCTTTGTTTTCAAGCAGGAGACCCTTTCTTCAAAATTCTTACACAGAAGTTTAACATAAAACAGATAAAAAGTAGAGCTGCTCTGGCTGGCTGAAGCAGAGTGGGGAACCAAAAGCCTCCTCCGCTCAGCAATACCCCTGCCCCCCCGGGGTCAGCCTCTAAGGAGGCATGTCTATGAAAAACCTAGGGTTCTGAGAGAAGGATTTTTCCCAATTTAAATCTAATAATCTCAATTTGAGGGAAAATCTTGGTTCATATTTCTGCCCCAGCTTCTGTACCTATAAAGGAGAGCCTTTGTCACAGCTTGAAAGCAGACTAGCCTTTTTTGTAGTAACAAAAAAATTTTAATTACAGAAACATAAAGTATTAATAGTAAATTTCTAAGACCACAAAGCATATATGAAATAAAAATTCTAAGTATTTTGAGACTGGAACACAGTCATGCTTAGTTTCATATTTAAGGTCTCCTAAGGAAGTATAATAAATGTTTTTACTGCTATAGTTAGTACTCCTCTGAATAATGAGAGCCAAGAAGACTGCTTCCTCTAGGCCACTGGTAGGATAATTTCCTTTTGTTGTGTTCAACACATACAATAAAACTGAAGACACAAAGACATGAAAGATATGAACAGTTAGAAGCTTTTTTAGATTAATTTTTTATTTAAATTCAATTTAATTAACATATACCATATTATTAGTTTCAGAGGTAGAATTTAGAAGCTTCTTTTTAAAAAGTCATCTCCAGGCTTTTAACCACAGTATATTTGAGACAGACGGTTTATGCAGAACAAAGAGTCATCATCACAGTGCAAACCAACCAATTATTAACAATAATTATAATAATTTTCATGTACTATGTACTTTCTGTGGATTATAACAGATCCATAGGCTTTTATGCAGTATCTCATTTGCTGGCTTACTGCCAAGATGAAGACAGCGTTAACACTTTTATATATCAGAAAACTTAGCTGAAAGCAAAGAAAAATACTTGTTGAAAGTTAAAAGGGAGGGGTATGTCATTCCTGAGTAGTGAAACCAAAAAGAGATAGGCTAAGTTAATAGATCAAAGGGACATCAGAATAGGAATGGTAATACTGGTTTTATCACACCATGTTTCTAGGCTGGACATATATATTAAGCAAAACAAGAGCAAAGACCTAGAGGGACTCTAGCCCAGTATTTTCCAGTATAGTAGCCAGTAGCTTCATGTGGGAGTTTAATCAAATAAAAAACTTCAGTTCCTTGTTCCAACTAGCCACATTTCAATGCTCATTAGCCACGTGTGGCTATTGGACAGCACAGATAAAGAACATTCCCATCACTGCAGAAAGTTCTATTCAACAAATCACTCAAGCAGAAAACCTTTGAATGTATTAAAAACAGCAGCACTCGACAAATGGTTGGTGACAAAAGACAGGTTTCCATGGGCCATAAAAAAAAAAAACCTAGCCAGAGAAAAAGAAACTAATAATAGTAGCTAACATTTACTGGGCACTTCACATAAGCCAGATACTATACTAGGTGTTTTATATGTACTAATTTAATTAACCCTCAATAACGACTCTATGATGTATTTACTATCATTACTCTCATTTTATAGATGGGAAAACTAAGACTCAGACAGGTTAAGTAACTTGCCCAAGATCCAGGATTTGAATACAGGCAGCTTGATCTAGAATCTAGAGCCTTCATTTTTTTTTTTTAAGATTTTATTTATTTATTTATTTATTTATTTGAGAGAGAGAATGCGTGTGCATGAGGCGGGGCAGAGGGAGCAGGAGAAGCAGACTCCCCACTGAGTGCAGAACTGCAGAGCTGGACTCCTGGACTCCAGGGCTCAATCCCAGGACCCTGAAATCATGACCTGAGCTAAAGTCAGACGCTTAACCAACTGAGCCACTGAGGTGCCCCTAGAGCCTTCATTTTTAACCATTATACTATACTATTCCACTTCCATTACATAAAAACTGTATTTAGAATTTTTGCCGTGAAAGAATAAAATTTATTTAAAGTCATCCTTCTCATGTATTCACCAGTCAAGTTCATGGTAAAGAGAGTAAGAAAAATAGTGAAATAAAAAAGACTGTCAAGAAATATATCAAATGTTACTGATAGTTTGATCCCTCTGCACTGAGATAAAGGGCAATTTTAGTTTTCTTATTTAGTCTCTTATTTTGTTAACTCTGTTTTCTAAATGTTCCACAATGAATATGTATCACTTTTATAAAAATATCAAAAATAATAAAAATATTATTTTTAAGCAAGATGAAAATACAATCAGCTTAAAAATTCTTTTTTTTTTTTTTTAAGATTTTATTTATTTTTTTGACAGAGAGAGACACAGCGAGAGCAGGAACACAAGCAGGGGGAGTGGGAGAGGGAGAAGCAGGCTTCCCGCAGAGCAGGGAGCCCGATGCGGGACTCGATCCCAGGACCCTGAGATCATGACCCCAGCTGAAGGCAGATGCTTAACAACTGAGCCACCCAGGCGCCCAGCTTAAAAATTCTTAAGCAGAATATCAAATCAAGACTCATCCATCTCATTCTCAAACATTATAGAGGCCCCCTAACTGATCTCTTAGCCATGAAACTCCCAAGATTAAACCTGCATTTTCCATCCGTTACCCACTATCATGCTAGTCCCTGCTCAGAATCCAATACACAGAGCATAAAATATACTCTTTTTGGCTTTATGAAAGCCATTCCTGCATAACTGCATTACGTTTCCACCTTTATCTACCAATACTATGCTATCAAATCCTCAGTTCTTCTAGGAGAAGCATGGTAGAAAGAGCCCAGACCTCAGAGTCACATATCTTGACCAACACATAATCTCTTAGCCTCAGTTCCTTCAATGGTGATTAGTTATGAAGATTAAAATCTTTTTAAAAATCTCTTTAAGATTTTATTTATTCATTTGAGAGAGAGAAAGAGCAGGAGCAGGAGGAGGGGCAGAGGAAGAGGGAGAAGTAGACTCCCCATTGAGCAGGGAGCTCCATGTGGGGCTTGATCCCAGGACCCTGGTATCATGACCTGAGCCGAAGGCAGACGCTTAACCAACTGAGCCACACAGGCGCCCCAAGATTAAATCTTTAAATAGGTAAAGATCCAGCATACAAGCCTTCAATAAATGGTGGTTTTCTCATTACTATTATTAGCCAAATGGGTTTTTATTCACTGATTCCTCAAAAAGCTTTGCACTTTTACCTCGGTGCTTTATTACTGTTTTGCTTCTTTTTTTTCAGACTTCCTTCCCTCTCTTCTAAAACCCTATTAAAATTCAAGTTATGGGGCACCTGAGCGGCTCAGTTGGTTAAGTGTTGCCTTCAGCTCAGGTCATAATCTCAGGGTCCTGGGATCAAGCCCCACATGGAGCTCCCTGCTCAATGGGGAGTCTGCTTCTCCCTCTTCCTCTGCTCCTCCCCCTGCTCCTGCTCTTTCTCTCACTCTCTCAAATAAATACATAAAATCTTTAAAAAATAAAATAAAATTCAAGTTCTAGTTCAAGTCAACCTCCTCCAAAAAAGCTTCCCTGACTCTGCCAAGCTAATGTAATCTCTTACTCCTTTGAAATTTTATAGCTCATAGAGTTTATTCTACCCAAGTGGTAGGGTCTTAGCTGATTTTATCAGTTCTCTTTTCATGTATGTAAGTCCCAGATCCCCAGTTAAGAGTGCAAACTCCTTCTTACTAGCAGACATTCCATTTTATATATGTCTTTATACCTTTCTGGTATCTGACAAATCACCAGGCTTATATTAAATGCTCAAAAAAATGTGCTAATCTGATTTATGCATTGGGAAGAAAGTCATCATAATAAAAATACTGACTGAACATTTTTGTAGTAGACTACGAAGGCAACAATTTTGTATAAAGGTAGAAAGTTTCAAGTAAGCAGTATAATCTAACTCCATAATTTACTATCACTGACCAAACATGTAAGTCTTAGTTAAGCTGTATGGTTTCTCTCTAGTCCAATATAAATATTAGCAATAAATGACCCTAAGGAAATAGCACTTTTAACTTTTTAAAGTGTCTTACACATAAACCCTACTTAAATATGTATTGACTCAAATAGTCTTAATTGGTTTCATTTGGAAATACAGTCACCTCACTAAAAAAAAAAAACAAGATAATTCAAGTGAGAAAAGTTCAGATTCTGATTACTAGAAAGTGATGATTATATAACCATATTATATATAAAACTAATTCTACTCTAAAAAGGTAAACTAGGGACACCTGGGTGGCTCAGTAGGTTAAGCATCTGCCTTCGGCTCAGGTCATGACCTCAGGGTCGTGGGATCAAGCCCCATGTCTGGCTCCCTGCTCAGCGTGGAATTTGCTTGTCCCTTTCCTCTGCCCCTCCGTTTTATGCAGCGCACGCACACGCACGCTCTCTCTCTCGCACACGCATACACGCGTGCTTTCTCTCAGATAAAAGAATAAAATCTTAAAGAATAAATAAATAGGTAAACTATGTCTTCTCAAGTAAGTGCTAAAAGTTAAGGGTAGATAGCCTGGGGGCATACTTTTATTTTCATTCACTGATTTAATTACTATTCCTCATAAAGCAATTAAGAAAATTAAATAACCACATAAAGACTAAAATCTTTTCTCTTTGATAAATTACTAATTACTAATTTAATAAGAAACAACTGTTCTAACGAACTGCTACTAAGAGTAAAGCAATCTGAGAGACAGAAGGAAGTTGCTTTATTAAATGCAGCTAATTACCAGAAAATTAAGTCTTAATATGTAGAAAAAGACCTACAGCACACTAAACCCCAGCAAGATAGAGTAAGCACGAAATTGTGAATCCCTCTTTTTAGCTGTTAAACATGCTATTCTAACAAGCCTCCAACAATGTTTAAGCTTTCTCGCTGATCCCCAGAAGGAAGGAAAAGCCATTATTACCTAAGGATGTTGGGATGGGAGAGTCTATTCATGAGCTGAACTTCTTTCAGCATGTTTGCCCGGTTACTGCTCAATGTGTTCATCTTAAGAGCCATCACCTGGCCAGAAGCTCGGTGGCGCACCTAGAAAATAAAACAACAAGAACAGAGGTTCAAGGGCAGCAGTTAAATATGAGGTCAAAGTCTCCACATGTAAACATGCCAAGATGTTTTAGTGACAGTTTAGATAAAATAGATATTATTAGGGATGTTTTTCTATAAACTGATCACATTAGGGTCTCACTTCCATTAATGAAGATGCATTTATTCCATCCAAGACCAAAACTGTTTCACATCAAGCTGGCCAGAAAAACATTGTTAATTACACCTCAATAAATGACATCTTTTCTTTTAATACCTTAGAAAAAAATGGGGGAAATTTATTAGGATGGTTCCTTATGGCCAATATTGCTGAGTCTTAGGACACTAACAGTCCTCTTTGTGGAATTTTAAGTGTGCACAGAAAAGATACATGCATAAGCCTTATATAACACTTAAGGGATTATAAAACTATCTTTATAGGATAATAAAGCCACATGCTCAAAATCTCCCCCATATACACACATATATATACATATATATATGAAAAAAAGCACTGCATATTAAATATAGAAAGAAGTCAGTGAAACTTTTAGAGCTAATATTATTGTAAGTCAAGCCAAATTATCTTATAATCATTTAAACATACTCAAGTCAGACACAAAAGCATGGGCCACACCATTCAAACTATTATCCACACACAGAGAGGAAAATCTACTGTTAAGGGCGCCTGGGTGGCTCAGTTGGTTAAGCGACTGCCTTCGGCTCAGGTCATGATCCTGGAGTCCCGGGATCAAGTCCCGCATCGGGCTCCCTGCTCAGCAGGGAGTCTGCTTCTCCCTCTGACCCTCCCCCCTCTCATGTGCTCTCTCTCTCCTCTCATCCTCTCTCTCAAATAAATAAATAAAATCTTAAAAAAAAAAATCTACTCTTAAAACATTCATCCTCTATAGAAGTCAGTCTATTTTACATGTAAAAATATTGTTTTAGGGGCGCCTGGGTGGCTCAGCCATTAAGCGTCTGCCTTCGACTCATGTCACGATCCCAGGGTCCTGGGCTCGAGCCCCACATCGGGCTCCCTGCTCAGCAGGAAGCCTGCTTCTCCCTCGCCCACTCCCCCTGCTTGTGCTCTCTCTCTCCCTCTGAAATAAATAAATAAAAATCTTTAAAATATATATATATTGTTTTATAATTTCAATGCATACTCCACAGGTTTCAAAACTGTAATACTTTACTTGCAAGAAAATTAACTGTTTTCACCCTCTAAATGCCTCAGTAGTAGCAAAATGAGATTACCAGAGAAAATATTTTGTCTTACCCAAAAGAAGCTCAATTATTTACTGAAATGTGGTTTGCTACCAAGAAATTATGAATAAGGCAGTAGAAAAATTACTAAGTACCAACGACCTCATTACTTTCTGGTTAAAAAAAAATCATTTCAGGGGTGCCTGGGCGGCTCAGTCAGTTAGGCGCTGCCTGCCACTGCCTTTGCCTCTGCCTGCCACTCCCCCTCCTCATGCTCTCTCTGACAAATAAATAAATAAAATATTGTATTTGAGAGAGAGAGAGAGCACGAGAGGGGGAAGGGTCAGAGGGAGAAGCAGACTTCCCGCCAATCAGGGAGCCCGAAACGGGACTCGATTCTGGGACTCCAGGATCATGACCTGAGCTGAAGGCAGTTGCTTAACTGACTGAGCCACCCAGGCACCCAAATAAAATTTTTTTAAAAAATCATTTCACGGGTGCCTGGGTGGCTCAGTTGGTTAAGTGTCCAACTGTTGATTTCAGCTCAGGTCATGATCTCAGGGTCATGAGATCAAGCCCACTTGGGATTCTCAGATTCTCTCTCCCTCTCCTGCCCCTCTCCCTCTCTTAAAAAAAAAAAAAATCATATCAGATCTTGCACAACAGGGACTTGCTATGCAAAAAATTTCATCAACCTATGGACTTTCAGTATTCTTTCAGCATGTTATAATTTACCAAGTGGAAGTTTCAAGAGAAAATGACAACCTACTTAACTTTTCAATCTCAAGAAATTCCTTCAAAAGACAATAGCCCTAGAAGTTTAGCATATTTAATACAGGACAGACATCACATTTTATCTTAGAATTCAAAGAAACAATGTTTCAGAGTGGCCAGACAGAAGGGAAAGGAGGAAGCAAAACACTGAGAGCCACAGGAACTCTGGTCAGAAAAACAGGCAGAACACTGGCTGTCTCTCCTCTCTTCTAGATCACTTAGTGAGATTTGGAACCCATCTCTCTTCCTAGTGCATCAATGATTCTGTTGTCATGTACCTCGTGACTGAAGAAAGAGAAGTGGCTTTCCTTTTCAGATCCTGCATGGATAAGTTAAAAGAGACATTTATACACAAAGAACACACTGACAGTAGTTTTCCAACTCTATTTACAGAAGACATCTGTGTTTTAATAAGTGCTCTCCATTCTGAAAGTTACTCTTCTCCTTTTTTCATCATCTGAAAACTATCACTCAGAGATTTTAACAAAATAGTTTGATATTAAAACAATGTGAATTTCAGGGATGAACAACAATCTTGTATTTCAAACCAATCAGGAAAAAACCCCACTTCCTTAAACAAGTGGACATGATGAATGTGTCCATCTGTCTTTCATCTGCATAAAATACTTTCTTCTAGCCCCTCAAATTCTACTTATCTTTCAAGACCACACTCAAATATCCCCTCCTCTCTAAAGCCTTCCTTGATTCTCTCTAGAAACTATTTGTGGTTTCCTTCTTTATACTACCTCAGAAAAACATTTGTAACACCAGTATACCACTTGTTACATGGTTCTGTTTATAACTTTATCCCCACCAGGCTATTAAGCATCTTGAGACCAGGATCTATACTGTATCCATCTTTGTCTTGCAGTGCCTGGAAGGCCTGGTACATCATAAGGGCACAGTGAAAACAATGGTAACAAGAGTTAAATGAGGGCGCCTGGGTGGCTCAGTTGGTTAAGTGACTGCCTTCGGCTCAGGTCATGATCCTGGGGTCCCGGGATCGAGTCCCGCATCGGGCTCTCTGCTCGGCAGGGGGTTTGCTTCTCCCTCTGATCCTCCCCCATCTCATGCTCTCTCTCTCTATCTCATTCTCTCTCTCAAATAAATAAAATCTTAAAAAAAAAAAAAGAGTTAAATGAAACTTCTAACATCCTTTCTAAGGGCCAGTGAATAATTTATTTATCCAGGTGATTTATTTGGGCAGCAGTGGGCCAGGAGTGATTTTCTTTCTTTTTCTTTTATTTTTTTTCGGGGGGGGCAGAGTTTGGGGGGAGGATTCAAACAGAAAAGCAGTATAAAATTTGGTCATAATTTTCTGAAGTTTACTATCTAGAAAGGGACAAACAATAAGCTATATGGCTAGTCAGAGAACAAAGAGAATGAAGAATCAAATACAGCACAAGAGGTATTTATATAAATGTTGATAGAATGAGCACTTAGGCGAAAACTTCATGGGACTTCAGTGAAACCTCAAAAGATTAATAGAGACAGAGGGAGAAGCAGGTTCCCCACTGAGCAAGGGAGCCAGACATGAGGCTCAATCCCAGGACCCTGGGATCATGACCCGAGCCGAAGGCAGACGCTTAACCGACTGAGTTGCTGAGGCGTCCCCCCTATACTGTAGTTTTCATCCCTTTGACTTATTTATAACTAGAAGTTTGTACCTCTTAATCCCTTTACCTATTTCACATACCCCACCCACTTTACTCCCCTAGCAACCACCATCTTAACCTTTCTTTTCTTTTTCTTTAAGATTTTACTTATTTATTTATTTGAGGGGGGAGCGGGAGGAGATGGACAAGAAGACTGCACTGAGCATGGAGCCTGATGTGGGGCTCAATCCCACAACCCATGAGATCACGACCTGAGCCGAAATCAAAAGTAAGAAGCCTAACTGACTGAGCCTCCCAGGCACACCATTAACTTTTATTTTCAAAGATATTTAAAGATATTTCTCTCAAGAATCTTATTAATAGGGGCACCTGGGTGGCTCAGTTGTTAAGTGTCTGCCTTCGGCTCAGGTCATGATCTCAGGGTCCTGGGATCGAGCCCCGCATGGGGCTCCCTGCTCAGTGGGAAGCCTGCTTCTCCCTCTCCCACTCCCCCTGCTTGTGTTCCCTCTCTCGCTGTGTCTCTCTCTGTCAAATAAATAAAATCTTAAAAAAAAAAAAATAATAATCTTATTAATAGTAACAGTGATCTATGTGTAGAGGACAAACTTAAGCAGAAATGCACCTTCTCTTTACTCTGAAAATCTAAGTATATTTGAAGGTAATTAATTTTTGTAGTTTTGATAACTTGGAATGAAGATCCTCCTGCATTTAGGCAGGTTCCCCATCTTTTGTGGACCTCTATATTTGATGGTACTTTTTTCTTCCTTTATCACCTGTAGTCCATACTTAAAAAAAAAAAATCTATCAATATCTATTAACCTTGGGGCGCCTGGGTGGCTCAGTTGGTTAAGCATCTGCCTTCGGTACAGGTCATGATTCCAGGGTCCTGGGATCGAGCCCCACATCAGGCTCCCTGCTCAGCAGGGAATTTGCTTCTCCCTCTCCCTCTGCTGCTCCCCCTGCTTGTTCTGTCTCTCTGTCAAATAAATAAATAAAATCTTAAAAAAAAAAAAAAACTACAGGGGTGCCTGGGTGGCTCAGTCATTAAGCATCTGCCTTCAGCTCACATCATGATCCCAGGGTCCTGGGATCGAGCCCCGCATCAGGCTCCCTGCTCAGCAGGGAATCTGCTTCTCCCTCTCCCTCTGCTGCTCCCCCTGCTTGTTCTCTCTCTCTCTCTCTGTCAAATAAATAAATAAATAAAATCTTAAAAAACAAAAACAAAAAAACTACAGGGGTGCTTGGGTGGCTCAGTCGTTAAGCAGCTGCCTTTGGCTCAGGTCCTGATCCGAGCCCTGAGTTGGGCTCCCTGCTCTGCAGGAAGCCTGCTTCTCCCTCTCCCTCTCCCACTGCCCTTGATGTGTGCCCTCTTTCACTGTCTCTCTGTCAAATAAATAAAATCTTAAAAAA